AAACGGAAGTGACGTATTACAAGCGGGTCCACGAATAATGGCTATTGAATGATTTAAAGTTTTTCGAACAGTTGTCAATCGCAATATAAATTATGAATTTGGTTTGTGTTAGCGCAAGATTCAAATTATTTAAGAAAACAAGTATGTCAATTATTGTATATTAATATTTATATGAAAACATGGATCAGTTACTATTATATATGTATACTATTATATATCAATTTCTCTGTTCAAATCTATTTTTATTTTAGGTTTAAAATATTGATTTACTGGAATACTACTGGGTATTATATATGGTAATATGTGTGTGAATGTACATTCAGTACAAGTTTCTCACTTGATCTAAAAATCGTACTTCATACTAACAATATCACAACTTGATTCTTGAAGACATGTTTTCCGTTTTATCGAAACAACGTTTTTCACATACGCAATGGATGATCGCCTATATATTCTTCGTTTATATTGGCGCATTGCAATATTGTTGTTATTGTGTATTATGTTGTTTTGTTTTGTTGATTAGATCTGTTCGTGTACGGTATTTTAATAGGCGGCATACCAATCACTACAAACATTGGATGCATATTAGAAACCCCATATTTTGATGGTTTTGTTTCCGTAGTTCTGCCATCAATTGTATCAACGGGGTCGTCCTAAACAATGGCGCAGAACGTACGTATACTTTGTCGACTAACTACCTTTGATTAGCAATATGTGTCATTATGGACCACATACTGTCTCTGACACTGTTTGTCCAACTCGTAAGGAGATGCCATGCCCTGAGGAAGTAGGAAAAGCACAATCAAACGAGTCGATCTGATATATACTGGAATACTTTATAATTGTGCCCTGTGTACTTTGGTCAAATCATGCGTTGAGATCAAATTGGTCATTCAACCTTCGAGGCCAATTATTGCCAAACAGGTAGCTTTTTATAAGGAGAGAATTCATTACTTCTCATTTTTGTCTCTCATGAGCGAGGACTCGTGCTTCTGTGACAAATGTTAGATCCGTGTCAGTATAGTGTGTTGATCTTCGCTATTTTAAGTCGATACACTCAGAAGTGATATACGTGACATGTATGACATACTCGCCGTTGAACGCTTTGAACGTTGTACGCACGTGAATATGATCATTTAAGCGTGTTCAGCCAGGTGGCGTTTTCGTTGATGCTCAGACTGTTTTTACGACGAACTGCATGGATAACATTTTCGTTATCGTATATAAAAACTGCCACATGATGCAGCAAACATTGGTCAAACACAAATTTAACTTTAACGCGCTTAATCAACTTGTTTGTGTAAGTCATAATCGGATGATGGTAGGATAAAAGTTACCTAAGACATATTAACAAATTTTATTTGAAATATAATATACAATATAACATACCGGCGAGATGCAGACTGGTATCGTATCAATTTAATAATATAATATTTCAGCTTTCATGTTTGAAAAGCAGATAGCTGAACAGAGATCACTGTTCGTTTTCTTTTCATGGGGTTATCTTGACTCACTACATAATATAACGTTTCCATCGTGATTCACATTCAATTTGTCAGACATAAATGTGACAAGGGAAAAAAGCCGCAGTTCATTTCCGAATGGTCTCCTCGATTGTTGTCTCTCAGAATCCATCTCTATGAGAAACCGCAAACACATCTGGCGAGGTTTGTAAAATTTTCCTTCTCATTCAGAGTACTCCGCTCTAATTTTATATCGTGTACGATCATATCGGTGAATCTACTACAACCCATTATACCTCCGTCATTATTTCTGCATTTTACAAGTTAACAAGCTGTGACATTGTGAGACATCGTATAAACAACTACATCGTGACTTCTGATTTGTGCAGGGAATTGTAGCATGCGTGTTAGAAAACCCGACTATAGAAACGAAAGTCAATTACAAGTCGAACATTTGCTGATTCCCGTGAACTTGTGTTTGTCGCGACGTAACTGCTCGACAATCGGGTAGAGCGAATCGAATTACCCTGGCTCAATTATTAGTGCATTTTTATGATGAGCGGTTTCACCAATACCTTAAATGACATGCGTATAGTTTATCAATAATTGGGTGCTATCGCGTGAAGCAAATCGAGTCGCCAAACTCACAAAAGGCATCTTGTACCTGCAATCTTCCCCGCTACTAATTACTGAATGTTCGTTTATCGGCTTACTATGCATGTCGTGTGAACTTGACACTGGCGACATTGAATTGAAAATGACTTTACCACAGTCAACGTCATTATAATGAAGTCAAAAGCATTGTTTTCGATGATAGGTAATTTGACATTTCGCATTATTTAATAAGCACTCTGGTAACTTGATTTATGTTTCGTTGGATTCATTCAATTGCGCAATGCAGTGCGTGGTGAAAATTTAATAATTTAAGCGGCCCTCGATACACAGATTAGCTTTGTTGAAGAAAACCGATTCGTGTCATTATCAGGGTACACCATCTCTAACTTAGTTCGGCGGTGTGAAAATACATTTTGATGAGGAACGAAACCTGACATGCAAAGGTGTGTGTTATTTCCCATGGGGGTTTACTCGCATCTGATTTAATAATATCAGGAATCGTCAACACCCCACCGATATGGAAGGCTTAAGTCGACTGAATTCTATTTACGGTGGTTTAAGCTAATTAGATATACTGGACATTATGTAAAGTCTTGTTCTGCGCATCGAACATGTTTCATAAACAATAAGATTTGGCGGATTCAAACAGAACCCCGTTAAAACATTGTGTTTTATTTACAAATTGAGCTACAATCTATTTATATGTATTTAATCATTGAAATTGTTTAGATCTACACAAGTTGGCATTTAGCATTTATATGTCCGACCATCCTACTCGTTTAATTAACTTGGACTTCACAGTGTGTTTTCTAGTGATAACACTGTGTAATTGACAACCCCCGAGCACATGTCATTGTCAAGGGAGTTTAATTCACTTAAATTAGTGATCTTGGAGTTCTTTAATATCTTATTCTTTAATAACCATGGCAATCACTCCTAATACGGTTAATGCGATGGCACTGGTGTTCTGGTCACGACATGCAAATGAATGAATGAACGAACGAACTCGTCAATACGTGGGAGATGTTCTTTTGACGTATTCTGTCAAGGATTAAAGCTAATGTACACTCTATAGTTGTTCTGGATTACCGCACGACGTGTCTCTACAAAATATTACGGCTAGTCTTGCCGAGATATTCGACAAGGGGATTTGTGCATTCGACTGAGTTCAAGACGCATCGTTAGTGAAGGGCACAGAAGCGGACGCCGGTAATTCCAGTATGAGACACTCTCATGAGATTCGCATAATACATGTTAGCTTCGTACATTAGTAAATCCTACTGCAAATGCCCATAAGGTTACTTATCAATCGTCTATTGTTTATTAGATATATTTAAGATGCAATGTGTGATGCTCATACACGCATGTGTTTTTTTCCCAAAATTCAATATGGGATAGTCAGAGAAAACAGAAATGTTCCATATAGAAGATAATATTATAATATACTCCACAAAAATGATCTGTGTGTAATACGATTGGAATTAGTACATGTCATGTGTAAGTTACTATTTCCGATGACAATACAAATACGATATTAGATAGTTCTTTGCTATAGTAACGCATATATAGTAGAATGAATCTACAAATGTCGGCGTATTGTTGGATACAGGGGGAAACATGACGTACAGTAGTAATCATTATGTTTCATAGCAAGTACCATGTGTAAATTGGTTCTGTTAACGCAACGAATTCCGAAGGGAACGCAGATTTGTCGACAAATTTAATATCAATTAACGCCCTACAAAGCCACAACTAATATCTCACGTTGGTTGAGAACAGAAAGAAATGTCAAAACAATTCCTTGTTATAATTTGAGCTAGAAAACCCCGGAAAGCGACGTCTGTATCTCGAATAATTGGTCGGGTGGAACGGGTTCGCGCTAGATAAAATTGCCCGTAATTATGGAACAAACCCCCCTTGGCGTGTGTGCACACGAACAAGATCGGTCAATTTAACTGTGTATATTTCTGTTACTTCGTATTGCTTCAGTGAAAGGAAGCAAGTACGTATATATCGGAAGAGCCCACAAAACAAAGTTCTATGATATGTTATTATACTGTGAACATACCCAGTATAAGTCTATTGGAGGTGAATAGTATCAATAGTGGTTTTCCCGCGGTATCCGTCAGAGACGTGATCCCCGTTTCATGTTGTGCACACACAGCCGATATAAGCAAGGGAATCCTGTCGTATCCTGTCGTGACTTGAGTGCCGGAAATACGCATCGTATTTAGTATAACTTACTCAACCCTATACTTGGTAGCCCCCAAAAAATTAAGGCTGTTTTCTTGTGCCACACGTATACACATTTTAGTATGTGACATATAAATGCAAATATTCATCGCAAAAAATGCGAGTCCAATGTTTTCGCGGCTCTACGGAGGGTGTATTACCTCTCCCAATGGATTACATACATCGACCCCGTTTCACTATTATAATAGTAGCTAATATTCATTTTCGAAAAAGTTGTATACGAACTGGAATATACGTCATGCAAAACGTTATCACAATATATTCAATATTCACTATGGTCTCCAGCTCTTGGCAAGTATTGTTGATACGAAGGTGTTTTTCGATATATGTGTTTTTAGTTTTGAATATATATTTACTGGGCGTATGAATTGTGAATGCTCCATCTCGTATCAACTCAATAAATGTAATTTATGAATATGTTAGTCACCATAGAGAGGACGCCCACACACACAGTTAGTTAGCGTAACTCCATTTATACTGCGTTCCTCCGCTGACGTGTCATTTCATTCAAGAATACTGAACGGTTTGAACTGTACGTTTCGCAGGTACACTGTCTCTGACACTGCCGTTGGATGTATTCCGATTACAAGATGTCCTCGCCCAGACAATTTAGTGCGAGTTCCGAATTTTAGCTGTAGGTTATTGACCACTTCTTTCTTTTCTTTGTAGGATTTGTAATTATTCAACACAATGCTGCCACACAGTACGAAGATATCGCTTTTAATGTTGGGGGTGTGTGCAGTTTTTTTCTGTGACGGGCCTTTTGGCGGAGTGCGGACGACTAGTGCATTTGTTCCTGGCGCCGGGCGTTGTATACCAGGTAGCTTGTTCAACAAGTATTGCCATGGGTTGTCGTCAAAAATGACAGTTTCACAAATGGAAAAGCAGTCAACGGATGCTTCGAAGGGCATGAGTAGGGTAACTCGTCTTAACCGCTGTATCCCTGGGGCGGAGATGAGCTGGTGGTGTCGATATGGTCGAAGCGAAGGCGATGTAGCGGAAAAGAAGGTCTCGGAAAAGAAAGAAAGCGCCTACGGTCTGGATACATCTCTTGACTGCACTGGCCCCGGTGCAGAAGACAATCCTATGTGCCGAGAAAGACAAAGGCGGGTGCAGTTTGTGAATCGCGGAAGACAGTCGTTCGGAAATCGGTGTATCCCAGGCGAGGAGTTCAACTACTTTTGTCGAGGAAGAAAATCACAGGGCAATGCACAGGTTCAACCAAAAGATTTCGACGATAGCAACGGCAGTCTTAACAAATGGCAAAATGATGATTCGATTTTTGAAGACAAAATAAGGGGTACGTATACCTAATTGTTTTTTTGTATGTAGATAATTTCCTAGTATATTACGATTACTCCTAAATGTACCCATATGTGTATATACCGGGGAAAAGGCGCGTAATGATATTAGCCCGGTTTGGTAGCCATGGTGATATAGGATAGCCCCTTGAACCCAGATTTATTTATATATCCATAAGCAGCAATTAAATAATGTATATGTTCGCGACATTTCTAACATGCGAGTTGCCATGCAATGTTCGTATTAACAGTCGTACGTAGTTTGCATTAATACTTCTATGTACACAAGCTTGGATAAACTGTAGCTTACACAATTACGTGATTTACGTACGTGTCTTGTAGTTTGGTCCGCGATCAGGTTGCCCTGTAATATACTATACTATTTGTATCTGGGTGTACATTCGTTTGCAACACTACCATCGCGTTATATAAATTGACACACCGACGGGTATATGCCAGGGAGGCGACGAGTGAAATAATCGATTCGGATAGAATTTCGAACCATTTTATTTGTTTAAAGAGAATACTGAATTAAGTAACCCGACACTTTGACGATTGACAGGAATACGCAGTTAATTCTGCTATAGCAAGAGCGAATTGGCCAATTGGTTTATGTCTAACCAATTCTCGTTTTGGAGAACGGGAGACGTGAATATCATAGCGATTGCAACAGTGACTTTAGAATTGTGTCCAGTTTCTGCTTACTCGCCTCTCTCCGGACTCGTGGCTCAGGCTGATATGTTGTAATTGATGAAAACGATGTGGCTCAGTTCATTTGAGTTAATTTTATTTAATCTCGGTGGTCCCTTCAGTAGCTAGTACTTATTTACAAGTAGGTCATGCATGCACTTCTTGACAGAGATCGAGCAGTATGTTTAGTTATGTCTATTATTACAATTTCTCGTATGACATTTATACTAAAACCACAACGCCATGTTTAGGTTGTATCAAGTGAATGTGTACCGTTAATTTGGCAACAACGGCAATACAAACACATTAATATCGAACAATCTTCTTAAATTTTAAACGTAGGTCCTAAGGGAAATATATAAATTATGACAAATATGAATGTAGGACTCTGTAGGACTGGCACATTGAGCGTCTACAAGAACAAAGACGGTATGTACACGTCACGTACGTTTCAAGTTACAGTGAAAATACTGCTGTACATTTAGTTTGCCTTCTTGGCGCCGGTTTTCACTGAGTAAACGCAGCACAAAACAGTTATCCTTATCAACAGTTATCACAAAAGTAAATATTCCTATAATTCTCACAACCAATAGATGTATCTGTTTAACCAGGCGTTAGCGTCTGACAAACCATTTTAACAATGGGCGTATCTGACAAATCACGCTAATATTGGCGTCTTACAAACCCTGTGGACGGACGTGTCATCTATTGGCGATTCACGGACGCATCTAATCCGCATGGCCCGAGGCGCAGCTAATACCTTAATTTTGTCCATGTTTATTGACTTCATTAAAAACTGTATTATTATTATTAAGATTATGTTCCTGATAAGAATACGCTTATTACAATAAAACGAGATGCTTACTATAAACCATTAGAAACTACCTTCAATATAAATATATATAACGTACGTTGACAGTTCCCAATAATCCCCTGGGTAGACCATGGCAAAATAATCCGAACGTGAAATATGCACATCGCCGCGATCTGTTCGTTTTAACCCCAAACCCCCTAGATACAGAACAAAGTTTAAATTTATTTGCCTTGCGTCTTGGTTACAGAGCTCCTGGGACAGGAACGTGATGGAGAACTCGAGAAATAGTTTACACAGATAAATGATAACAAACACGTGAGTAGATCTTTCATTAGAACATCGGAAAAGCGGTGCGCTTTGAGTGTTATTTCTCTTTTAGCTTAAGTTTCTGGTCACGATCATGACGGTGAACTTATCCGAGCCGTTAAACGCACTTGTGGCATGATTGTGATCTCACGGGCTTGCAAATATAGATTTGAATTTTGCGTGCAATTACATAATGGTTAATTTGCTATTGTATAAAGATCATTGTTTTTACTGCCCCGTCATATGCTGGACATACAATGAATATGCCAACCAATACAGGGGGCTAGGTTACAGTTACAAATAATACGAAGAATGTATGAATAATACACAGTAAAGGCGAACAAATCTGTATATCAGAATATGTAGACGCGTCTTTCGACATGATTCGACCATAGAACCACAGCCCCTCTCTGTCCTGAAAGAACAAACCTAGCACCCCATCGTAAAATGTTGGCCATTACGTTCTGTTCTCTAATTCATAAATAGGTTCAATTCACCGTGCCAAATTAAACACTTTTCCGTTTTTTTTGCCAGGTTTTTAGTGACCGATGCCAGCAGACTTTCATCCAATGACACTACAAGTTAGAGCGGACAGAGAAAAACGTACAACGTCGACGCCCGTACCAGACATTACACGTTTTGCTCGTCACTCTGCCACGTATCACCGCCAATGCGAGAAAACACACACACACACACACACACACAGAGTCAGCTAGCATGTGAATTGCTGTGCACTAAAGCAAGGGGAGAGATATATGTAGGTTACAGCGTGGAACCGTACTGAAGCGGCGCGTTCGTTTGGAAGAAAGGAAATACGACCTAATTATTCAAACGAGATTTCGCGACGCTGTCGACCGTTTAACGAAAAAAAAGCCTGGAGAATATCCACGAAACAGATTTTGATAATTTTGTTGAATGTTTTTTTTTTATCGGAAGAGGAACAATTTTAATACCATCAGTGGTTTAAAAACGTGAGTTTTTGTTTTCGACTTTTTGAAATCCGGAAATTTTGAGGAAAAGCCCGTCGCAAAATGTTCTGCTTTAGTGCACAGCGATGTCAGTTGAATGTGAATACGCGCTGTCTGATTCATCCGGCGTCAATCCATTTACACAACCTGTACATAGTACGTTTTGTGAAGAATTTAATCGTGGATTTGTACTTATTTTTTGGTCGTGACCAACAAAGAATTGTGTAACATTAGTTCCATGCGTCTCGTGTGCACAATTTCCAATTGCTGGCACTTGCTTTAATCTGTGATTTCCTGTTGTTTATTTCACAATCACTTAAGTGTTTATAGTATCGTCGTAGATAATAAATTGTATTTTATATTCTGTTTCACGAAATAGTAGCACACTCGTTGAAGTGCCAATAAATAACAATCTTTTCTTTCAATGCAGTATATGCTTGTTTTCATTTGTGGGTACCAATACGTTTTCTAAGACGAACCGGGGCAGAAAAGTGTTTTACAATGTGATTGCAGATTATAATTTTCCTTTAGTAATGCCGTTACATAACATGTGTAGTTACCATTGTCGAGTATGTCTCTGTGAGTTAATATGCCTCCTGCACGATCCTACACTTCATGTAACATCTGACAGGGGCATATACAATTCCCAAATAAAATAGCATGGCAAAAATGTGTTGAAACCTGGCGTAAAATAAATATATTGTGTTGCATTCAAATTGTAGCCTCGAGTACAAAAAACTGCCCGCAGTAGAATACAAAACAGATGCATCCAACATTTGGTTGGATCACAATGCAGCACTAAGCTAAATTCAGAATATCGTTTTTAGCTCCGCTGTCGACTTTGTCGAGCGGAGCTTATCATATGAGTGATTGTCCGTCGTCGTCCGTGTCAATGTTTTACTTTTTCGACTTCTTCTTGAAAATTACAAGCCTGAATGCTTTAATACTTAGTGTATATGTACCTTGGGTAGACCTTTCTCAGATTTGTTCATTTTCTAATGATATCCTTAATTCTCTAATTTTGATGATTATTTTTGCCATTTTTGGTGAAAAGTTATATTTTTGAATTCTTGTTGAAAACAGCAAGTCCCATTGCTTTGATACTATACATATTGTTCATTTTCTAATGATATCTTCTGTTCTTTTATTGAAATGTGCATTGCTGACAGCGGAGCTATCTCAGCCGACTGGCTGCTTGTTTACAGTTCATATTGTTTCTATAACCCGATGGAACCGTGTAGAATCTCCATCCACATTTACAGCTGGTACAATATTTTGTAATTTATTATTTTACGAATACCTCTACAGTTAAAATGCATAGTATGTACCTATAACCCCTGCTCTGAGGGATTGGGAATGTAGACGTTTCAGAATACGCTCATCGCCACTTAATATGCACAGCAATGTACTGACAGCAACGGGGCGAAGCAGTGTGAACAAAACAAAAGAAATTTAAGTACTGTTAAGTGATCATCGAGTTACAATTTGTGTGTGGCGTGGTTTTTAAAATATTGTAATTTTTGTAACTCTATGTCCATAACTCGATTAATTCGGCATCTGTTTTGTTATCCTATGGGGCACATTTAGGTCGCGGCGCGAGGACTTTGGCTCTTTAATCAGAATGTCGTCACTTTAAAAATTAATAAACACCCGTTAGAAATTAGTACAATTACATGATGGACGCCATTCAGGTATTCTAGTAGCCTAGTATTCTTGTTTCAAACTGACTAAAATTTAGTGCTAATGTATCGCGCATATATGTAAATATTATGGAGAGGGTTTCTATGTTTCCCAATATCACATACTCTGACAAATTAGTCTGGCAGTTGAGCGGCACGAGCAGTCCAACAAATTACACATAATTTCCCTACGGCCACAATTTATTTTAATTCAATCACAGTTAACACCGGGGGGAGGGGTATTTCGCATTAACCCCACCAATGAAACAAGCATAATTACCGTAAATTATTTCTTAAAAAGCACGTGTAGTATATTCGATAAATAATTTGGACACGATTGCAATCATTTGTACAGCTTGTGCAACTCCCTCGTAGAGATTTATTTCCGTTCCTAAAATAAGTAGTTTGTCTATTAGTTAAACATCTTATGCTCTCATTGACTGGTGAAACGTCTCATCTGGTTTACAGATATTCTGTAATGAATATATTTCATTGATTCTAAACAGCACCTGCAAATATACAATTTAGTCGAAATGTGACCTGTGTGGCACACCGCCCTCTCTATACAGGAACTGTAATTTACAACAATGGTCCATGTACGTAATCAGTACGTATTTTGTCTTTATATTACTTGAGCACTGCATTTGGCCTCGTTCTCGTTGACCAATTTGAGGTTTTGGCAAAAGCTCCTGATTAACAAATGTCAATTTCCTAAAACATAACATCTAATAATTATGTTCGTTGTATATTGTTACATTATAATCAGTAAGATAAAACTGCCAGAGAGTGATTTTGAAGTGTTCCGTGTTTACTAAGGAAATATTTTGATGAAATAAACAGCTTTCATGAAGTGTATTCGAGAAAACCTCATTCAACATGCACAGGTGCATCACTTGGGGCAATATAATTTATTCATGTGTTATCACTTGACTAATCACGTCTAATTATTGACTTGGTGTCGCCCCTAGCCGTGGCAGTGACGCATTGAATTGTGTGACCAATCGCGCTGTACTGTGTGGTGTATCACGAGAAAACATTAGGATAAATCATCAAAACAATTAAACTATATAAAACGGCCAACATTCAGGTGACAATTAATGAGGACAACGAACAGCAGGAACAAAACATCCAGATATGTACCACATGAGAAAACATACGTCGAACTCCTTATGCCCCCCCAAGGAAATGTGACTTTCCGACTTGTCGAAGCACGTAATAGAACCATAACGGCGTCGAACTAAGACGGTGGCAACAGGAAACGCATCAAATCTGTTACGGTGGCGCGAATGATGTGCAAAGTGAATAAATTTATCTTCCTTGTGCAGTCGGCCATTACAGTAGAGAACAAGGCGCGTGATACTACGCCTTACTTTGGGGTTGTGCAAGACGTGATGGATTAGACCATTGGTGATTACCGCATGAAATGATTCTGTGTAGATATACAACTAAGGTGGTTCTATGAATCTATGAAACCCAAGATAAAAAAACTATCCACCATTTCTTTTACTTTCACACATGTGTGATGTCACAATTATTTTGAGAGTTATTGAAATGTTTTTTTTCTTATAACATATCTACAATGATTTCATGACTGGTAAGAATGCCATCATCGCGGAATGAGAAGTACTTTTTTGTATTTAATGAATGGACGTGACGTTATTAGATGAAAATAAATCGTATAGACGTTTTAAGTGGTGGGTACTTTCGTATAAAGTTTCAAGGGGCAAAATTGTGCAGTCACGATTTGTTTTTTAGTTTAAGACTTATATAAGACAATTTGTCAATGTTGGTGATATACTGGCACATTCTGATTTTCTAATTGTATACGTATACTTTATTGTATTATTTAGCGGAACAAATGCTATGAAGAACATTTTTCTCAAAAAAAACTTTTCAATTCTAGGATTGCACAATGGACAACATTGTTTATTCTTACACTATTAATTTATCATCATAATGTCAATTCAGTAAGTAAAGTGGCTACGAGGTTAACGGTAATGCCATGCAGTCTTATACATAACTCTTCTTCGCCCACTTCCAATATTTTATGACGTAAAATTAACGATCATCCTATTTGTGACGTCGTACATTGAAACAACGCGTCGAAATGACTAATACCGTGCTAATAAATTAGTTCCAGGAGTTCTCTCTTTGTAGATTTCTTAACGCCCTCTATCGACGGAGTGCTTCTCGACGTAAATGCATTGCTCTGTGTCGTGAAGTTAAAGGGGCGGTGGTCGTCGCAGTTTCCTGTTCGATACAGAGCTCATATTTCTGCTCCAAAAGAACAAAGTAAAATAAAACAACAAATGACGCAAAAATCTAGTTTTACAGAAGGAATAAAACTTTTTGGGTGCCATTGATTTGCATAAACGTGGCACAATTAATCACATTTGAAATTGAAGAATGCAAATCTTAGTTAGTTTTCTCTAAACCCCTTTCAAATAATGTATTTCCTGTAAATTGTTTTAGTTTCTGAGCCCCCTCCCTCCAAGTTTTAATTCTGTGTGATAGTTCCATCCATCAGGGAATGAGTGAGTGAGTGTTATTAAATAAATATAGGTTCAAGCTAAACTCAATTCACAAGTTTTCAAAAAACGAAAATAATTACAAGAGAAGGTGGAATCCTCAGTGGAAAATAACAAAAAATAAATTCATATAACAATAAAACCCGCATCATCGACAAAATTAAGATTAGTAGCACATGGTTTACAGATTGAAATGGGCAGATGTTGACCTAATTGACAGAAAACGTCAAGTCCGACATGAAAGTGAGTGAAATCGACGAGAGAATAGTAATGGTACTATCAGATACAGATACAACTGTTTTATACTAACAGTTATGGCAATCTAATGTATCTGCACATATATGAAAGAACTGTGATAACAGCCATACTTAATTAGTTAGCGATATTTTGCAAAGCCAAATACAATCCTGGACCTTCTCACAATAATTAAATAGTCTAATATATATCCTGAGATGTAAGCACCTTTGACAAACATGCATACCTGCTTTATTGTTGGGCAAATCCGATGACAGGGGTACATCACGATGTTCCACGACATGTGTGTAATTGGTTTTGCTCTCATATTAGACTTAATAAATTCTTGTCGATATCAAGTCAAGTAAAACATCTACTTATGGATACAACTAGAAACACTAAAGCGTTGATGTTATTTGCACGTAGCGGGTTAGAAATCACTCACGAGCACAGATGCACAGCGATGACAAGCGCAGTGGGCAAGTATGTGGGCG